AAATGAAGTACGCTGCAACGCCTACCCTCTTGGAGATATAGAATGTAACTAGAGTGGAAATTCTGAGCAGTGTGTGCATATGTGAGCATATGTGCTCCCGAGGGAGGGGTGGTCGGCGACATCCACGGACTCCACGCGGACAGTGGATTTCAGTGCTAATGGGAACTTTTCCAAAAAATGGTATTGTGCATACTGAGTTTTGTTTGTAGGTTGAAAGTGAACTCGCCACTCTGAATGTGACCCATGTGGTCTGCCTTACTGGAAGGACCCACGGAAATGGTATAAACACCATAGAATACCTTGAAGGTGGTCCAGACCGAGTTTCCGAGAACGTTCGGGATAACATGTACAGGTGAGTCACCAAAAGAGGTATTTTTCATATTTTTCAGATGGGCTGTCTTGTAAACTCACCTGAGCTAGGCTTTAGAAGCATCTGAAGGCAACCATGCCGTTCCACCAACTGCTAGGTTACTTTGATTTATGTTTAGTGCTACGACTCTGGCTCACTTTTGTCGCAAACTCGGCCTTCATTTCACTTATGTGGGAACGGGATACATCTTCGCCTACGATAGCACTCATCCAATCGGTGGTCAAGGCTTCACAGAAGAAGGTATTACTATTTCGCTTTCACCTGAACACATGGAGTTAAAGTGCTTTGACTTTTGAAAGTAGGTGCGATAGCAAGAAATATGGAAACAGTTTCCTCACCGTTTGAGAAAGAACGTGTTCCGCTGGGTGTGGGAGTGCGGCTGTATGCCATTTCACCGTCCTCCCACCAAGAACTGCATTGTAAGAACTGCACTCCCCTCCTCGCCCTAACCAACGCATCCCTGCCTTCAGAAGAAAGAAATGGCAAAGGGTAGATGCACAAGAACCCCTTAATTTCCTGAAGTTCTCCTGAACTTTAACTTCCAGCTTGAACCAGTTTTGTCGTAATTTGTGAGAGGGAAAGTACGCGATGTCCAGCAAACTCTCCAAAACGGATCGTACAAATTGGCAAGGACCAAAGGCACTGAAATACTCTTTATTCTCGGATCAATTCATTGGTACGAACTTTCTGTCCACTGTTTTCGCTCGCCCCAGATAAGCTGCGGTAGTTCAACACCCTGTAGTGTGCACTGACTAACTACT